GGGGGGGGGGGGGGGGTGAGGTTGTCGAAGTACCAGCGGTAGTGGAGACGACCGCACTGGCGCGCACGCGGATCAAACTGGCGCTATCAGCTTTGTGAGTACATGTGGCGAGGGTCAAGCATTCTGACTGTACTTACTGAATTTCGTTGATGAGCAGGCCAGTGCGTTCTGAAATTTTTGAGCATAGGTCAAAGTTTTGAAGGTCTCGGCAATAATTGACGTCGATATCGTTCCGGAAGCTCATCGTCGCGTAAGGCTCTGTAAGCACGGATCGGATCGTCCTCTCGGATTCTACATTAGGTTCAAGATTTTGAAGGGCATTTAAGTGTTGTGGCGATATACAATGACAATGATTGCTTTTTTAGAGATGGCACGTCTGTGAGGGTGACAGAACGTGGTGTTGCCAAGGTGCAAGGCATTTTTATATCACGCTTAGTTGATGGAGGTCTAGCAGAGTCCACCGGACTCCTGGGAGTTAATGATGAGGTATGTAGGCTCTGAGCTAACAAGGAAATAGAATTCGAAGTTGCCAAACCAAACAACCGTATGCCATTCGATGCGGCATAAAACGCTGATTTCGAATTTCATCCTTATCGCTTTTGTGGACGAACGCTGTAAGCAGTTTTACTGCCAAGAAAACCTACATGAAAACTGCGAAACTGAGCACATAACTGCCCCTTCGGCTCATCTTTAGGTATGTGCTATAAGCAGTAACCTAGCCGCATTTTTCGGCCCAGCATTAGCCGAACGTGGCTCTGTACGGCCAAAATTCTTCAATTTCATGCTTAATTCTTGAAATTAATGGCCTTTAATGGCTTATAGCTTCGTTTAGAAAAGCGATAAGCAGGTAAGGAGCGCGAATTTGAAGTCAGCGCTTCATGCTGCATCTAAGGTGTGCAGCCTCGGATTGGTCACTTCGACTTCTGACAATTCTCTTGTAAGATTTGTGTTGATGTGGTATCTTTTTAGGTGTTGGAGGTGAACGGAATTTACGTGCAGGGTAAAACTCTTGACCAAGTGACGGATATGATGGTTGCCAACGCACATAATCTTATCATCACTGGTACGTGGGATTTCTATCAGCGCTCCTCTTGAAATGATTGATTCATTGAGTATTCATTGAGTTCCTTGAACTTTTCTAATTCTTTTCATGTGCTGGGAATCGTGTCTCATCGTATGTCATCATTTGATAAGAAAAGTCGAACTAGCTGCATTCAGCAAATGTCTGAGAGCATAGCTTTGTGCTGGCCACTTCCCTAAACACATAATCTGTGTATTACTTTCTGGCATCCAGAACTTCTTTTGTTGTTAGAACGTTTGGCCTCCATTATTAGTGCTCACATGGAACTTAATCGAGCTTGAAGTTCGAAGAAGCAACTCCTTTTTGTGGAAATGAGTAGCAGGAAGGTGACGTGTTACATTGCATCAGCACTATATGTATTCTTTAGTGAAACCCGCAAATCAGCGTAATACGCTGCAACGAAATACATCGGGAAGGACCCCTATGCCAGCTTTAGATGCTGACTCGGAATCAGACGGTGGCACTGATAACTCGCGATAATCAAAAAGTCTACAGTGCGATGAGATATCCTCGAAAACCGTTATTGAAGGATCGGGGACACCAGAAGCGGTTATTTCGCAAAGTATGCTGCTAGTTCCTTTCGAACTCAAGACATCTCATTTACAAACAAAAGTTTCGGGGATGAATTGAGTTTAGGTTATTGAGACCAAATATCTTGTTTGTTTTATGTGCCTTTGGTATTAATCTCAGTCATGTATTTTCTGACATGGATTTGGTTTGCGTTATGGAATTCAAGATATCTCATCGCGTTGTGATAATTCTCGCCAATCAGAACTATATGCATGTAGGTAGGTATTGGCTAGGGAGCAATATGTGATACAAGGCCGCTGAATGTTCTTCGTAACTTTTCACTTACCATGGATTTGTTATTGTTTCTTACCTTTGAATGAGCATTTCCACATCAGACGTTGAATTTCTCATGGGTAGCTATTGTGATACGTGTTTTCGGTTGTGACACTTCATCAGCTATTCAGAATCGAATTATTTGAATCATCATACCACACTTATAGCCATGCCTTCTTTGCTGCTATTTTAGAGGTAATGCAGGCACTCGTTATTCATCCATTTATATACGTATTAGGTCGTTCCACAAATTCGTAGCGTTTTCATAAAAACCGACAGAATAGTAAACATTAGCCAATATTATATCCCCGATGTAGCGCACGGTCCTTTGCCGCAGTCCTGACTTTTGCACCTCAGTTCCACAAACGGCATCGCTCCAGGTAAAGAATGTCATCTAACCAGCGCTCCAACCACTCATTGAAATTGAGACATGCACCATTCATAAGGTTTGCGAGAGAGCGGAAC